TATATATATATATATATATATATATATATATATATATATATATATATATATATATATAGTATCGCATGATATGAAAAGAGAAAAAACTAATCTTTGTGATTACTGAAACGCCGCAAGTTGGTGGTACTATACAAGTAACGTTTTAAATCAATCTATGTTCTTTATATCTATTCGCTGCTAAACTAAAGAGCTAATCCAGCTACGCTATGGTTGAAAACTCAATCTGATAAACTACGCTCATACAACTAACTACAAAGAAAACTCAAAACATTCATCTATAAGAACCTCAAGCCGTTAACTGACGAACACAATTTCACAATTATTTGAAAACTTGAAGCCGTAGACATCCGATGATTTACCTCGGACATTCAGGGCTATTTCGGATTGGCCATGATCGGCAATCAATTGTCATTAAAATTGATCCTTGTTATTCTACATAAACATGTATCCTATTGAATAAAAAATTGTAGTATTTCACAAATCATTTATACGTTATTTTCGTATTCATTAAACAAAAAGATAACTACAAATTGATAGGTACTGAAAATTTTATAATCACACATGCTTAAAAATTTTCAAGGCTTTAACATACTTAGTGTACGTAAACTGAACAAAGAAAGTGAACCAAACAAGTAAATCGAGTCCTTGAATTTGCAAGTCACCCTTTCAATTATTTCGGAGTTTCATATTATGAATATTGTGACCTCTGGATACAACTTTCAAGAAGCCATATAAAATAAAGTCAGCAAAACTTGTTGTAGGAAAATATTGATCGTTAAAACAATTATTGCAAATGCGTAAATATAGAAAATAAACGATGATGTCATTTTCAATGCTAATGCAACATGTACTTCCGCTGATCTATACTTTATACACGACATTAATAAATTCTAACAAAACATTTATGTGATGTATGTAGGTATGTTCGGTGCTCGGCCCTCTTTTGTGGAATATCGGGTATGACTGGGTACTGAGGGGTGCCCTCCTCCCGGGCCTAAGCGTAATCTGTTACGCAGACGACACGTTGGTCGTGGCCCGGGGGGGGAGTTTCGCTGAGTCTGCCCGTCTTGCTACGGCTGGGGTGGCGCATGTCGTCGGCAAAATCAGGAGATTGGGCCTCGAAGTGGCACTCAGTAAATCCGAGGCCATGTGGTTCCACAGGCCCCGGAGAGTGCCACCTGTCGATGCCCATATCGTGGTTGGAGGCGTCCGGATTGGGGTCGGGGTGCAGTTGAAGTACCTCGGCCTCATTCTGGACAGTCGTTGGACCTTCCGTGCTCACTTTCAGCACCTGGTCCCTCGTTTGTTGGGGGTGGCCGGCGCGTTAAGCCGGCTTCTGCCCAACGTCGGGGGGCCTGACCAGGTGACGCGCCGTCTCTATACGGGGGTGGTGCGATCAATGGCCCTATACGGGGCGCCTGTGTGGGGCCAGTCCCTGGCCGCGGGGGTGGCGAAGCTGCTGCAACGGCCGCAACGCACCATCGCGGTCAGGGTCATCCGTGGTTATCGCACCATCTCCTTTGAGGCGGCGTGTGTACTGGCTGGGACGCCGCCTTGGGCTCTGGAAGCGGAGGCGCTCGCCGCTGACTATCAGTGGCGGGCTGACCTTCGCGCCCGGGGCGTGGCGCGTCCCAGCCACAGTGTGGTCAGAGCGCGGAGGGCCCAATCTCGGCGGTCCGTGCTGGAGTCATGGTCCAGGCGGCTGGCTGATCCTTCGGCCGGTCGTAGGACCGTCGAGGCGATTCGCCCGGTCCTTGTGGATTGGGTGAATCGTGACAGAGGACGCCTCACTTTCCGGCTCACGCAGGTGCTCACTGGGCATGGTTGCTTCGGTGAGTTCCTGCACCGGATCAGAGCCGAGCCGACGGCAGAGTGCCACCATTGTGATTGCGACTTGGACACGGCAGAGCATACGCTCGTCGCCTGCCCCGCATGGGAGGGGTGGCGCCGTGTCCTCGTCGCAAAAGTAGGAAACGACTTGTCGTTGCCGAGTGTTGTGGCATCGATGCTCGGCGACGACGAGTCGT